CAGGGATGGGGCTAAAGAAGGGGGAAAATCCCTTAAAATCCAGTGACTCTGAAATAATGAGGGGGATTTTTTTCCTTAAGGAATGGGAGGAAACTGGGAGCAGCTGGACACCAAAGGGACTCGAGCCTTGTCCTCAAACTCCTTGAGGAATTTCAATGTCCGTGGTGGGGATTGCTGGATCTGCTGGCATCTGGATGGGCTGAGTGATGCAGGACCAACCGGAGGCTCCCAACCCTTGGGAATTCATCAAGGAAATCTGGGAATTGCTCCATAAACTCTTGGAGCCTGCAATAAAAAATTAAACATTGACGGCTCTGCTGTGTAAACATGGCCAAGAAAACTGGGATTGGGAATGGGGAGGGGGAAATGATCCCACAATGCTTTTGTTTCCCTGATTTTTCCCAGAAAACAGCACCAAGAAACCCAGGAAAGGAGCGACGCCTTCCAGCCACATTCCAGACTCATCCAAGGACCGGTGGCTCCGTCTCCCGCAGGAGAAGGGCGAGGGGGGTTTATTTTAAATCCCTTTCCTGCCCTAATCCATGTGACGCTAATCAGGGATCCGGCCCCTTGGGAATCAATGATTAATGGAGTTAAATTTAGCGGGAGCTTGCCGGAGTTAAATTAGGCGCCATGCATAAAACATCACAGCTCCTCGTTAGCACGGCTAATTACACTAATGGGGGGTGCTCACGCGGGCCTGGAATTAGGGATGGACCTCCCGACCTCCTCCCAGCTGCCCAAATCCGTGGTGGAGCTGGGAAAGAGCCTGGCCTGGAGCCTTAATGAGAAGGTAATTAGCACACAATTAATGCTCAAGGGTGGGGGTGAAGGGGGGCTCGGACATCCAGGAGGTCCAGAGTGTCCTGGGGATGGGTTTGTCCCACCCCCACAGGCTTGGGGGGTTGACGACAACATTCCCAAGGGTTGGGATGAGGGGTTGGTGCAGCACGTGGCCCCTTATCCCAGTGGGGGATTGGGATTGACATCAGTTATGGGTTCCCTCCACTGTGGGTTTGCCATGGGGTCAAGCACCATGATGGGTGGGGGTTTGGTCATGGATCCACCATTCCCAAGGATTGGGATCAGGGTTTGTTGTGGCACATGGCTCCTTCTCTCAATGGGATCAGCATCACTATGGGTTTGCCATGGGGCCATCATCATTATGGGTTGGCTTTGGCCAGTGGCACAGCCATGATTCCAACATCTCCTTCCACCATGGCTGTAATTCCAACATCCCCTTCCAGTGTGGCCATCATTCCAACATCTGTCATTCCACCATGGCTGTAATTCCAACATCCCCTTCCAGTGTGGCCATCATTCCAACATCTGTCATTCCACCATGGCCATAATTCCAACATCCCCTTCCACCATGGTCATAATTCCAACATCCCCTTCCACCACGGCCATCATCCAACAGCCATGGCTCCAACATCCCATTCCACTGTGTCCATCATTCCAACATACGTCATTGCAATATGGCCATCATTTCAACATCCACCATTGCAACATGGCCACCTTGCAACATGGCCACCATTCCATCATTCACCATTCTAACATGGCGACAATTCCAATACCCATTATCCCAGCACCCACCATTCCAACATTCATCATTCCAACATCCACCATTCCACCATGGCCACCATTCCAACGTCCACCATTCCAACATGGCCACCGTTTCAATATCCACCATTCCAACGTGACCACCATTGCAACATCCACCATTCCAACATCCCCTTCCAGCACCGCCATTGCTGTTTCCTCAGCCCAGCCTCCCAAAATCCCTGGGATCCTGCAGCTCCTGGTCTTGCTGCTTCCCCATCATCTTCGCAGCCTCCTGGTCACTCACCAGCTCCAAGGGAAGCGATTCCAGAGCCCAAATCCAGCAGGAGAAGGAGGGGGAAGGCGAAGCCATCAGCGTTTCTGAGCGGTTCCTCCAAACCCAGCGCAGGGAACACAAATCCGGCTGTAATTAATCCCATTATCTTGGGAAAAGGAGCCGCGGAGCTCTGAGAGGGTTGTCAAAAACCAGGAATCCGGTCAGGATAAGCCCCTGGGGGAGTTTAAGCTCGGACAGGCACCAGCTCTAAGCTGGTTTTGGGGGAGATTGGAGTGACAGGGAAATAAAGATGAGAGGACTTCGTCCTGGAGCAGGAAAATCCAGGAATGATTAATCGACCTCCCTTTTCCTTAAGGAATGAGACAAAAATAACCCAGAAAGGCCTCAGCAGCAGCTCCCTTGAATCCCCTGCAAAGCCCAAGCCAGGGGATGGGAGTGGGATGGAATGTGGGATATCCTATGGAGTATGGGATGTCCTATGGACTGAGGGATGTCCGATGGAATGGGGATGTCCGATGGACTGTGTGATGTCCTATGGACTGTGTGATGTCCTATGGAGTGTGGGATGTCCTATGGACTGTGGGATGTCCGATGGACTGTGGGATGTCCGATGGAGTGTGGGATGTCCGATAGAATGGGGATATCCTATGGAGTGTGGGATGTCCTATGGAGTGTGGGATGTCCGATGGAATGGGGATGTCCTATGGAGTGTGGGATGTCCGATGGAATGGGGGATGTCCGATGGAATGGGGATGTCCGATGGACTGGGGGATGTCCTATGGAGTGTGGGATGTCCGATGGAATGGGGGATGTCCGATGGACTGGGGGATGTCTGCGTGTCTCCCACCCAAGGATCCACATCCTGCCCCGCAGAGCCAGTCCACATCCCAAAGATCCTTCAGGAGAGGCATTTGGGGGCAGGAAAGGCTTTTTCAGCGAGCCCGGAGGATGAGGTTGGATTCCAGGGCCGGAGCAGGATCTGGAATGTTCCCAGCTCCCTCAGCTTCTCCCCTTGGCACCCTTTGCTGGCAGAGCCCAACTCCCAGGAAGAGCAGGGAACAATGATCCCTGATTGAGGCAGCTGCCTCTGGAAACTTGGAAAACTCTTCCCAGGAGCTCCAGATCCCAGGAACAAGACCTGGAGTGTTCCATGTCCATCTTTTCCATCCCCAGTTCCCACCAGCACACGGATGCAGCCAGAGAGGAGTTCACATGGAAGTGCTTCCTTGGGAAGAGCAGCCAGGAGGAAAACCCTTGGAATTTCCTCTGCATTCCTGTTTGTAGCCCAGGAGAGCATGGAGAGCTGGGGTGAGTTGGAATGAGCAGGACAGGGACCTCCTCAGCAGGGACTGGAAAACTTGGGAAGGACAAATTCTGCTCAAGGAAGGGGAAAAACTCATCCGAGGGCAAAATACTCCTGGATTTCTCCCCTGAAATTGCCTCTGCTCCCTAGGAACCCATACTGGAAATCCTGGGAAGGTTTTCCAAATGGGATGAGCCCCCAAGAGCTTCAGACACTCCAGTGTCCAACCCAACCTTGTACGGAAGCTACGTAAATTCTTCCATAGCCCATTTTGGGAGTGAAATATTCCTGGATTTCTCCCCTAAAATTGGCTCTGCTCCCTATTTATTGATCTTGGAAATCCAGGGAAGGTTTTCCAAAGAGGATGAGCCCTCACAAGTTGCAGATTCTAACCCCTTGCATGGAAGGTAGGAAAGCTCAGCCCACCTTGGGGGTGAAATATTCCTGGATTTCCCCCCTAGAATTGGCTTTGCTTCCTGTGAACCCACACTGGAAATCCTGGGAAGGTTTTCCAAAGGGGATGAGCCCCCACAAGTCATGGACATTCCAGTTTCCAGCCTCTCCATGCAGGGAAAGCATGGAATTGCCCCTCCTTGCATGGAATACATGGAAGCTCTGCCCACCTTGGGGGTGAAATATTCCTGGATTTCTCCCCTAGAATTGGCTCTGCTCCCTCTCTACCCACATTGAAACCCTGGGAAGTTTTTCCAAACAGGATGAGCCCTCATGAGTCCCATTCCCAACCCCTCATCCCACGGAATTCCCAGGAGCCGCCGCCGCCTGCGGAGCTCGTCAATCAGCCCCGAATGCAGCCACCGTTGATTATTTTTAGCCGGGGCCGCTGCGGTGTTTGTGCGCAGGAATCAGACCATGAAATCCCTGGATCCGGAGCATTCCCAGCTCTCTGACGCCCGGAGCAGCTGAGCCGTGCCGGGGTGAGGCGTTAAAAGCCTCCGAGTGTCACTCGATGCCACCTGATGTCCCCAAGGCGGGCGACGCAGCCGGTGTCGGACACGGGACCCCCGGGGCAGGCAGGAGCGGGGCCTGCCCTGGAATCAACCCCCTGACCCCAATTCCCAGCCTGGAATGGGAAATGTGGGAAAAGCAGCGCTGGCCTCGGACAATCCGGCTCGGTGCCCAGCTCAGAGGGAGCGGGAGCAGCAAATCCGATTTTCTTTGGGATCGTTTCAGCCCCTGGCGCCGGATCGGCCCTGCGGGGGCGGCGGCTGCTCCATGGATTCCAACATCCCTGAGATGGTTGGGATGAGGATGGAGGGAATATCCCTGAGAGGGATGGGATGAGGATGGAATATCTCTGAGAGGGTTGGGATGAGGATGGAATATCCCTGAGAGGGTTGGGATGAGGATGGAATATCCCTGAGAGAGTTGGGATGAGGATGGAATATCTATCAGCAGTTCCCATTCCAGGGCTCGGGAGTATCCATCCCACCCCTGGGATGCTCCCCATGGAATCCCCATTACAGGCGGGAATGGATCCAGTCCCAGGGTGAGTTTCCGACTCCCTGGGATGGGATTTCTCCAGTGCTGATGGAGAGGGCAAAAATAGAGGAATGAGGGATGGATTTTCCCTCCATCCCACCCCATTCCCAGTGGGAAAAGAGGAAATTTTGGGCGTTTTTACCTGATTTTTAAGATGTGCAGCTCCAAGGGGGTGCATCAGAATCCCAGAGTCCCGGGATGGGTTGGAATCATCTGGAAGCTCATCCCATTCCATTGGAAACCTGTATTCCTGGGCTGCTCCAAGCCCCATCCTGGAGCATTCCCAGGGAAGCAGAACCCTTGGAATGCTGCTCCCAAATCCCAGAAAAGCCCCGAAGCCACAAACCAAGGAAACCACGGCCATTCCTATGGGATTTATTTCCACGCTTCCCCTGTTTTCCTTTCCTCGGGAAGCCGAGTGGGCTCGGCTCCCAAATCCAGGGGATTTCAGTATGGAAGATCCTCAAATTCCCAGTTGGGAACAGAAGTGGATATTGCAGCCGGAGCCGCTTTTTCGGGAGCTGCTCCCGCTCTTCCCGGCATTCCCAATATATACAGATTCCTTCTTTTTACAGGTAATAATTTACAGCCTATTTATAATCCAGGGATTTCTATCTCTAGGGATTACCCACACACACACACACACACACGCAGGGAAACCGGGCAAACCCCGCCGCTCCCAGCTCCAGATCCGCTGGATCTGGGGGAGAATCCCGCGCTTTTTCCCAGTTTTCTTCCTCGCAGCGGCTCAAGCGCCCAGGGCGGCGCCGCTCCCGGGAATTCGGGGGACTCCTGAGGTAGGAAATTCGGGAATTCCAGGCGGGCTCAGAGCGCCAGCGGGAGCTGCCAGATGAGCAGGGAGCTGTCGGCGGCTCCGGAGCGGCGCGCGGATTCCGCCCGGAAATCCCGGTACCCGCGGCCTCCGGACACGATGGCCACGGAGGAGATTTCCTTGCGGGAAGAATCCCGGGAGCAGGGCCGGCTCCGCACCCACACGTCGGGATCGTCGGCCAGCTCGTAGATGGATCCATCCTCCTCGGCGTGTCCCGGCGTTCCCGGCGTTCCCGGTGCCGCTTCCCGCACGGAGAGCAGCTGCCCGGGCAGGTGGGCCGTGGAGCGCAGCCGGTATTGTAACAAAATCCCTTTTTTCCGCATTTCCCGCGGCTGGAGCCCCTCCGGATCCGGGGATTTCTCCTCCTCGGCCTCGTCGGGCTCGTCCTGCTCGGCCCGGAGGGCGTCGGGGGCCAAAGTGCTCAGAGCCAGCGCCAGGAACTGCACGGGGCCGGCGTGGCCGTTCAGGGACACCATCCCCTTCCCTGGAAAACAGCGGGATCGGCTGGGAACGGGAACGAAACAGCGGGATGGGAATGGGAACAGCGGGATCGGCTGGGAACGGGAACGAAACAGCGGGATGGGAATGGGAACAGCGGGATTGGGCTGGGAATGGGAACAGAAACAGCAGGATCAGGATGGGAATGAGACTGGGAATGGGCTGGGAATAGGAAAAGTGGAATTGGGATGGGAGTGAGCTGGGAATAAGCTGGGAGTTGTTGGGAATAGGCTGTGAATGGAACCAATGGGATTGGGATGGGAACAAGCTGGGAAGGGGCTGGGAATGGCACTGTTTTTGGGGAATGGCATTATTTTTTGGGAATGGCGCTGTTTTCTGGGAATGGGCGCCGTTTTTTAGGAATGGCGCTGTTTTTTGCGAACAACACCACTTTTGGAAACAATGCCCTTTTTTGGTAACAATGCTGTTTTTTGGGAACAGCACTGTTTTTTGGAGACAATGCCGTTTTTAGGAATAGCACTGGTTTTTGGGAATGGCGCTGTTTTTTGGGAATGGCGCTGTTTTTTGGGAATGGCGCTGTTTTTTGGGAATGGCGCTGTTTTTTGGGAATGGCGCTGTTTTTTGGGAATGGCGCTGTTTTTTGGGAATGGCGCTGTTTTTTGGGAATGGCAAACCCCGCCGCTCCCAGCTCCAGATCCGCTGGATCTGGGGGAGAATCCCGCGTTTTTTCCCAGTTTTCTTCCTCGCAGCGGCTCAAGCGCCCAGGGCGGCGCCGCTCCCGGGAATTCGGGGGACTCCTGAGGTAGGAAATTCGGGAATTCCAGGCGGGCTCAGAGCGCCAGCGGGAGCTGCCAGATGAGCAGGGAGCTGTCGGCGGCTCCGGAGCGGCGCGCGGATTCCGCCCGGAAATCCCGGTACCCGCGGCCTCCGGACACGATGGCCACGGAGGAGATTTCCTTGCGGGAAGAATCCCGGGAGCAGGGCCGGCTCCGCACCCACACGTCGGGATCGTCGGCCAGCTCGTAGATGGATCCATCCTCCTCGGCGTGTCCCGGCGTTCCCGGCGTTCCCGGTGCCGCTTCCCGCACGGAGAGCAGCTGCCCGGGCAGGTGGGCCGTGGAGCGCAGCCGGTATTGTAACAAAATCCCTTTTTTCCGCATTTCCCGCGGCTGGAGCCCCTCCGGATCCGGGGATTTCTCCTCCTCGGCCTCGTCGGGCTCGTCCTGCTCGGCCCGGAGGGCGTCGGGGGCCAAAGTGCTCAGAGCCAGCGCCAGGAACTGCACGGGGCCGGCGTGGCCGTTCAGGGACACCATCCCCTTCCCTGGAAAACAGCGGGATCGGCTGGGAACGGGAACAAAACAGCGGGATGGGAATGGGAACAGCGGGATGGGAATGGGAACAGCGGGATTGGGCTGGGAATGGGAACGGGAACAGCGGGATGGGAATGGAAACAGCGGGATGGGAACGGAAACAGCGGGATTGGGCTGGGAATGGAACAGAAACAGCGGGATTGGGCTGGGAATGGGAACAGAAACAGCAGGATCAGGATGGGAATGAGACTGGGAATGGGCTGGGAATAGGAAAAGTGGAATTGGGATGGGAGTGAGCTGGGAATAAGCTGGGAGTTGTTGGGAATAGGCTGTGAATGGAACCAATGGGATTGGGATGGGAACAAGCTGGGAAGGGGCTGGGAATGGCACTGTTTTTGGGGAATGGCATTATTTTTTGGGAATGGCGCTGTTTTCTGGGAATGGGCGCCGTTTTTTAGGAATGGCACTGTTTTTTGCGAACAACACCACTTTTGGAAACAATGCCCTTTTTTGGTAACAATGCTGTTTTTTGGGAACAGCACTGTTTTTTGGAGACAATGCCGTTTTTAGGAATAGCACTGGTTTTTGGGAATGGCGCTGTTTTTTGGGAATGGCGCTGTTTTTTGGGAATGGCGCTGTTTTTTGGGAATGGCGCTGTTTTTTGGGAATGGCGCTGTTTTTTGGGAATGGCGCTGTTTTTTGGGAATGGCGCTGTTTTTTGGGAATGGCGCTGTTTTTTGGGAATGGCGCTGTTTTTTGGGAATGGCGCTGTTTTTTGGGAATGGCGCTGTTTTTTGGGAATGGCGCTGTTTTTTGGGAATGGCGCTGTTTTTTGGGAATGGCGCTGTTTTTTGGGAATGGCGCTGTTTTTTGGGAATGGCGCTGTTTTTTGGGAATGGCGCTGTTTTTTGGGAATGGCGCTGTTTTTTGGGAATGGCGCTGTTTTTTGGGAATGGCGCTGTTTTTTGGGAATGGCCCCGGTGCCGCTTCCCGCACGGAGAGCAGCTGCCCGGGCAGGTGGGCCGTGGAGCGCAGCCGGTATTGTAACAAAATCCCTTTTTTCCGCATTTCCCGCGGCTGGAGCCCCTCCGGATCCGGGGATTTCTCCTCCTCGGCCTCGTCGGGCTCGTCCTGCTCGGTCCGGAGGGCGTCGGGGGCCAAAGTGCTCAGAGCCAGCGCCAGGAACTGCACGGGGCCGGCGTGGCCGTTCAGGGACACCATCCCCTTCCCTGGAAAACAGCGGGATCGGCTGGGAACGGGAACAAAACAGCGGGATGGGAATGGGAACAGCGGGATGGGAATGGGAACAGCGGGATTGGGCTGGGAATGGGAACGGGAACAGCGGGATGGGAATGGAAACAGCGGGATGGGAACGGAAACAGCGGGATTGGGCTGGGAATGGAACAGAAACAGCGGGATTGGGCTGGGAATGGGAACAGAAACAGCAGGATCAGGATGGGAATGAGACTGGGAATGGGCTGGGAATAGGAAAAGTGGAATTGGGATGGGAGTGAGCTGGGAATAAGCTGGGAGTTGTTGGGAATAGGCTGTGAATGGAACCAATGGGATTGGGATGGGAACAAGCTGGGAAGGGGCTGGGAATGGCACTGTTTTTGGGGAATGGCATTATTTTTTGGGAATGGCGCTGTTTTCTGGGAATGGGCGCCGTTTTTTAGGAATGGCGCTGTTTTTTGCGAACAACACCACTTTTGGAAACAATGCCCTTTTTTGGTAACAATGCTGTTTTTTGGGAACAGCACTGTTTTTTGGAGACAATGCCGTTTTTAGGAATAGCACTGGTTTTTGGGAATGGCGCTGTTTTTTGGGAATGGCACTGGTTTTTGGGAATGGCGCTGTTTTTTGGGAATGGCGCTGTTTTTTGGGAATGGTGCTGTTTTTTGGGAATGGTGCCGTTTCTCCGGGATTGGTGCTGTTTCTCCAGGAACGTCGCCACTTTCCCGGGAAGGCTGCGGGGCTCACCGGTGATTTTCGGGATGCCCTCCAGGCGCGGCACGGGCAGCAGGACGATGATTCCCAGATCCGTCCCCACCCAGAGCGAGCCCTGGCACAGCAGGAGGCTGGTGACGCGCACGAGCTTCTGCCCTGCAGTGGGAAAAGCCAGGAAAAGCCAGGATCAGGGAGAATCCCACAGCCCAGCCAGCCATGGATTCCATAGGGATCGGCCTCGGGAAGATCCCGGCAGATCCACACCCAGAGGGGAGCACTGGGAACAGAAGGGAATTAAAAGAGGAAAAAGAAGAAGTGGGAGAAAAGCGAGATTCCAACAGGAAGTGAGGATTTTATGGGAAGGAGTTAGCGGGAGTTGGGAAAGCAACAAAGCCAGGGAAAGAGGTAATCCAGGGAAAGATTAACTCAGGGAAAGAGAGAAATCCAGGGAAAGGTTAACTCAGGGAAAGAGAGAAATCCAGGGAAAGATGAATCTAAGGGCAGTGATCAATCCCGGGAAATCGGTAAATCCATGGCGCTGTGGCTCTTGAAGGAGCTGCCACATTCCAGAGGGTTTGGGAGCAGGACTTCAAACGGATTTAATCCCAACGCTCCTGCCCAGGAATGCAGGGATGGGAGGGATATCAGGATATGCCCAGAAAGAGGGAAAAGGGGAAAAAACAGGGAATTACACAAGTCTGGTGCTCGGAACTAATGAAGGGATTACGGAGCTGTGGAGAGGGAATGAGGCTGGGATAACCCAGAGAGAGAGAGTGGGAATGAGGCTGGATAACCTGGAGTGGGAATGGGAATGAGGCTGGATAACCCAGAGTGGGACAGGGATGGGGAATGCAGACAGGATCACAGAACAAATCTGGGATCCAGGGAAGGGATCATGGGACAAAGTCGGGATCCAGGGATGGGATCATGGGACAAAGTCGGGATCCAGGGATAGGATCATGGGACACAATTCCTGCCCAGCTCCATCCCTGCCCTATTCCTTGGGAAAGCCATGCAGGGATGGGGAATGCAGACGGGATCACGGAACAAATCTGGGATCCAGGGAAGGGATCAGGACACGGAGTCAGGATCCAGGGATGGGATCATGGGACACAATTCCTGCCCAGCTCCATCCCTGCCCTATTCCTTGGGAAAGCCATGGATCCTGGTGGCACCCCCTGGGGTGCCCCATTCCCTGATTCTCCTTGGATCCATTAATTAATCCCCTACATTAGCTGTTAATGAGGATCCCACTGGGCAGCAGGAAGGTCCCATTCCCTAATTCCCTATGGATTCATAAATGAACTCCCACCCCTCATTAGTGCTGACTGGGGTCTCACCGGGCAGCAGGGTGGTCCCATTTCTGGATTCCTCATGGATCCATTAATTAATGACCCTAATCAATCATTAATTGCCCACTGGGCAGCAGCAGGGTGGTCCCATTCCCTGATTCCCCCTGGATCACTAATTAACGCCTCTAATTAATGGTTAATTGCTCACCGGGCAGCAGCAGGGTGGTCCTGGTGGCCACGTTGATCTCCTGGAGGTGCTCCTGGGTCTCCGTGTGGAACAGGCGGATGGAGGAGCCCTCGGCAAAGGCCATCCAGACCCCGCTGCCCGCCCGCACCATCAGCGTCACCGCTGCCGCGGGCTCCGGGTGCGCCTCGAAACAGTGCTGGGGGATTCCCGACATTCCCGGGATTACCGACATTCCCAACATTCCCAAAACTCCCAGAATTCCTGCTCTGGGAGCACAGAGCTCTACCAGGAATTCAGCTCCCAGCCCTCCCCACCAGAACCCAGCCCCACTCCAAGCCCCTTCCAGGGCATTTTCCCATTCCCATTCCTGTTCCTGTTCCCATTCCCACTCCCATTCTTCTTCCTCTTCTTGTTCCATTCCCATTCCTGTTCCTGTTCCCACTCCTATTCCCATTCTCATTCTCATTCCTGTACCTGTTCCCAATCCCATTCCTGTTCCCACTCCCATTCCTATTTCCATTCCCATTCTCCTTCCCATTCCCATTCCCATTCCCATTCCCATTCCCATTCCCACTCCCATTCTTCTTCCTCTTCTTGTTCCATTCCCATTCCTGATCCCATTCCCGTTTCTGTTCCTGCTCCTATTCCCATTCTCATTCTCATTCCTATACCCATTCTCGATCCCATTCCTGTTCCCATTCCCATTCTTCTTCCTCTTCCTGCTCCTGTTCCCATTCCTGTTCCTGTTCCCATTGGCATTCTTCTTCCTCTTCTTGTTCCATTCCCATTCCCATTCCTGATCCCATTCCTGTTCCTGGGCTATTCCCACTCCTATTCCCATTCCCATTCTCATTCCTGTACCCATTCCCAATCCCATTCCCATTCCTATTTCCATTCCCATTCTTCTTCCTTTTCCCTTTCCCCTTCCCATTCCCACTCCCACTCCCACCCCTATCCCCGTTCCCGCTGTTCCCGCTGTTCCCGTACCTGGCTCTGCAGCTCGGGAGTCCCCAGGACGCTGACGAGGTTCTGGGAGCTGGCCCAGAGCGACTCCTCCAGCGCCAGCAGCGCCCGCACGGGGCCCGGCCCCACCCGGACCACCCGCACCGAGCCCGCGTCCCACAGACCCTCTGGAACGGGATCACCGGGAATGGGGTCAGGAATGGGGTCAGGAATGGGGTCAGGGAATGGCCCTGGCCCCACCCGGACCACCCGCACGGAGCCCGCGTCCCACAGACCCTCTGGAACGGGATCACCGGGAATGGGGTCAGGAATGGGGTCAGGGAATGGCCCCGGCCCCACCCGCACCATCCGCACCGAGCCCACATCCCATAAACCCTCTGGGAACCGCATCACTGGGAATGGGGTCAGGAATGGGGTCAGGGAATGGCCCCGGCCCCACCCAGACCACCCGCACCGAGCCCACATCCCACAAACCCTCTGGGAACCGCATCACTGGGAATGGGGTCAGGAATGGGGTAACAGGGAACAGGAAAACATGGAATGGGAAAACATGGAACAGGATAATGGCAACAGAATAACAGGGAATGGGATCACGGAATGGGATAACAGGGAATGGAATATCAGGAAACAGGGAATGGGATAACAGGAAATGGGATAATGGGGATTGGGTACAAGGGAACGGGATAAAAGGAAAAACACAGAACACTCAGCACACATGGAACAGGGTAACGGAAAACAGGGAATGCTGAGCACACGTGGAATGGGATACCAGGGAAAACAGGGAATGCTGAGCACACGTGGAATGGGATATCACACATGGAATGGGATATCATGGAAAACAGGGAATGCTGAGCACACGTGGAGTGGGATATCACACATAGAATGGGATATAATGGAAAACAGGGAATGCTGAGCACACGTGGAATGGGATACCAGGGAAAACAGGGAATGCTGAGCACACGTGGAATGGGATATCACGGAAAAGGGAAAACAGGGAACTTGGCACAGCCAGGAAGCTCCGGGTGCAGCTGAGCTCCCCCAGGAGTCACCAGGAGGGTCATTCCCACTTCCCAACATTCCCAAAATTCCCTTTTCCCACGGCACTGGAGCGGGCAGGAGTGGCTACCTCCACCCTGAGGGCTCCTTGGAAAAGCCCAAATTCCCTTTTTTTAACGGATTTGCTCCGGAAGGGCCATTCCAGGCCAATCCTGAGGATCCGGGAGCAGCTGGATCGGGATGAATCCAAGGCCAGAGGCTCTGATCCATCGGCACTTTTCCTCTTTTAATTCCCAATCCTTATTTTTGTATCCAAACCCTCAGATCCCAGGAATTCGGAGCCTTTGGATGCTCCAAGCCCTTCTCCCAGCATATCCCAGTTTCCAGGGAAAAAGAGCAATTCCAGGGAAGCTCATTCTTCCAAAAAAATCGGGATGAGATTAAGAAGTCCCCCCCGTGGCTGCTGTTTAATCAATTAAAATTAATTAAATCCCTTTAATTGGCTCCCAGCGTTGCCATCACTTGGGAGAGGGGATGGGCACGATCCCAAAAATCCCAGTTTAGGGGGATTCAGTGGCTCAGGACTGAGCCAGGTGCTGCTTCCTGCAGCTTTTCCTGGAGAAAACCCAGAATTGTGTCCGAAAATTCCGCCGGATTCCCGGCTCTCCCCACCCCCCTAGCGATGAGAACAGGGAATTTCCCAACGCAGGAATTCCTGCAGGACAGTCGCAGCAGGATGGGACCTCAGCCTGAGCCAAATCCCAGGAAAACGACCCCAAAACCCAGGGAAAAAAGGGAATTTTCCACCTTAGGGGCGTTGGGGGGAATGCCATTTCCAGCCCCAACACCGGGAATTTTGGGAAGGCAAAAATTCCCATTCCTTGTGATCCCACCCTGGACCTTGCAGCAGCCCCTCTCCAGGACCATTTCCCCAAGGTTTTCCCCCAAAATGAGTTTCTTTGGATCCACCATGGGAAAATTGGGTTTTCCTTATCTGGGGCTGCCAAGGGAAGTTTTCCACCTGAGGGGCGTTGGGGGGAATGCCATTTCCAGCCCCAACACCGGGAATTTTGGGAAGGCAAAAATTCCCATTCCTTGTGATCCCACCCTGGACCTTGCAGCAGCCCCTCTCCAGGACCATTTCCCCAAGGTTTTCCCCCAAAATGAGTTTCTTTGGATGGGAAAATTGGATTTTCCTTATCTGGGGCTGCCAAGGGAAGGGGAAAATATTGGGAAAACAAAGGAAAAATAAGGATTTATCCAAAATGGGAAATCCTCAATGGGATTTATCCAGAGAGGACATCCTAAATGGGAATTTATCCCAATCCCAACAGGATATCCCAAATACAGATCCTAAATATGGATTCATCCCAATGAGATATCCTAAAGGGGGATTTATCCTAAACACAGATTTATCCCAATCCCGATGGGATACCTTAAATGGGGATTCATCCTAAATGGGGATTTATCCTAAATGGGGATTTATCATGATGGGATATCCTGAGTGAGGATTTATCCCAATCCCAACAGGATATCCCAAATACAGATCCTAAAGATGGATTCATCCCAATGAGATATCCTAAAGGGGGATTTATCCTAAACACAGATTTATCCCAATCCCGATGGGATACCTTAAATGGGGATTCATCCTAAATGGGGATTCATCCTAAATGGGGATTTATCTTAATGGGATATCCTAAATATTGATCCCAAATATGGATTCATCCCAATGGGATATCCTAAATGGGGATTTATCCTGATGAGATATCCTGAATGAGGATTTATCCCAATCCCAACAGGATATCCTAAATATGGACCCTAAATATGGATTCAAACCAATGGGATATCCTAAAGGGGGATTTATCCTAAACAGGGATTTATCCCAATTCCAATAGGATATCCCAAATATCGATGCTAAATATGGATCCGTCCTGATGAGATATCCTAAATGGGGATTTTTCCTAAATGGGGATTTATCCTAAATGGGGATTCATCCCAATCCCAATGGGATATCCTAAAGGGGTATTTATCTTAAAGGGGGATTTATCCTAAATGGGGATCCATCTCAATCCCGTTTTTCCTAAATGGGGATTTATCCTAAAGGGGGATTCATCCCAATCCCAAAGGGATATCCTAAAGGGGTATTTATCTTAAAGGGGGATTTATCCTAAATGGGGACATCCCAATCCCAATGGGATATCCTAAAGGGGTATTTATCTTAAAGGGGGATTTATCCTAAATGGGGATCCATCTCAATCCCAATGGGATATCCTAAACAGGGATTCATCCCAATCCATGTGGGATATCCTAAAGGGGGATTTATCCTAAAGGGGCATTTATCCCAATCCTGATGGGATATCCCAAACACAGATCCATCCCAATCCTGACGAGATACCCCAAACAGGGACCCACCCCAATCCCAATGGGATTTCTTAAGCAGGGATTCATCCCAATCCCTGTCGGTTATCCTAAAGGGGGATTTATCCCAATCCTGACGGGATAACCCAAACACGGATCCATCCCAATCCTGACGGGATTCATCCCAATCCCTGTCGGTTATCCTAAAGGGCATTTATCCCAATCCCAATGGGATAACCCAAACACGGATCCATCCCAATCCTGACGGGATTCATCCCAATCCCTGTGGGTTATCCTAAAGGGGCATTTATCCCAATCCCAACGGATAACCCAAACACGGATCCATCCCAATCCTGACGGGATTCATCCCAATCCCTGTGGGTTATCCTAAAGGGGCATTTATCCCAATCCCAACGGGATAACCCAAACACGGATCCATCCCAATCCTGACGGGATTCATCCCAATCCCTGTGGGTTATCCTAAAGGGCATTTATCCCAATCCCAACGGGATTTCCCCAACAGGGCTCCACCCCAGTCCCTGTGGGGTTTCTCCCTCCCGCGGGCGCCGGGCGCTCACCGTGGTTGCGGGGGAAGGCGGCCACGCTGCCGTCCTGCAGCCCGGCCAGCAGGAACGCGGGGCTGTTCCGCAGGCACAGCACGGGCACCGCGCCCGGCACGCGGCAGCGCTGCAGCACCGGCGTCCCCGCCGCCACCGCCCCGAACACCAGCAGGCTGCGGGACAGGGGAGCGCGGCAGCGGGGTCAGCGTCGGCCCCGGAGCGCGGGGAGAGAGCGGGATCGGGATTGGGATCGGGATCACAGCATGGGGAGGGAACGGGATTGGCACTGGGATCGGGATCGGAGCATGGGGGAGAACCCGGGATCGGCATTGGGATCAGGATCGGAGCATGGGGAGAGAACCCGGGATCGGCATTGGGATTGGGATCGGCCCTGGAGCGCGGGGAGAGAATGGGATTGGCATTGGGACTGGGATCAGAGCGCGAGGAGAGAACGGGATCGGCATTGGGATTGGGATCACAGCATGGGGCGAGAACGGGATTGGCACTGGGATTAGGATCGGAGCACGGGGAGAGAATGGGATCGGCATTGGGATCGGGATCGGAGCACAGGGAGAGAAACCAGGATCGGGATTGGGATTGGGATCGGAGCGCGGGGAGAGAACGGGATCGGCATTGGGATTGGGATCACAGCATGGGGAGGGAATGGGATTGGCACTGGGATCGGGATCGGAGCGTGGGGGAGAACCCGGGATCGGGATTGGGATTGGGATCGGAGTGCAGGGAGAGAACAGGATCGGCGTTGGGATTGGCCCCAGAGCGTGGGGAGAGAACCCGGGATCGGCACTGGGATCGGCCCCAGAGCACCGGGAGGGAATGAGATCGGGATTATTTGGATCAGCCCTGGAACCCAGGGAGAGAACCCAGGATCGGCATTGGGATTGGCCCCAGAGCGTGGGGAGAGAACGGGATCGGCACTGGGATCAGGATCAGCCCCGGAGCACAGGGAGAGAACCCAGGATTGGCACTGGGATCAGCCCCAGAGCATGGGAAGAGAACCCGGGATCGGGTTCTGACATTGGGATTGGCCCTGCAGCTCCAGGAGACAGTGGGATCAGGGCTGGGATTCGAGATCAGTCCTGCAGCGTGAGCAGGGAGCAGGATTGGGATCAGCCCTGGAGTGCACGGAGAGAGTGGGGTCAGGGCTGGGATTTGGGATCGCGATTGGCCCCGCAGCACCAGGAGAGAGTGGGATCGGGATCAAGACTGGCCCCGTAGCATGGGGGAGAGAATGGGATCAGGATCGGGATCAGCCCCCGAGTGCGGGGAGAGAGCAGGATCAGGATTGGGATCGGCCCTGGAGCGTGGGCAGGAAGCAGGGCCGGGATCGGGATCGGCCCTGCAGCGTGGGGAGGGAGCGGGGTGGGAGATGGGATCTGGGATAGGGGCTGGGATTCGGGATGGGAGCTGGGATTCGGGATGGGAGGTGGGATCTGGGATGGGAGCTGGGATTCGGGATCGGAGCTGGGATCCCAGACAGGGTCTGGGATTCGGGATTGGAGCTGGGATTCGGGATTGGAAATGAGATCTGGGATGGGAGCTGGGATTTGGGGTCGGACCTGGGATTCGGGATGGGAGCTGGGATTCAGGATGGGAGCTGGGATTCGGGATTGGAGCCGGGATTCAGGATGGAAGCTGGGATCCAGGACAGGGGCTGGGATCCAGGACATGGGCTGGGATTCGGGATGGGAGCTGGGATTCGGGATTGGAGCTGGGATTCAGGATGGAAGCTGGGATTTGGAATGGCAGCTGGGATCCAGGACAGGGGCTGGGATCCGGGATGGGAGCTGGGATCTGGGATGGGAGCTGGGATCTGGGATGGAAGCTGGGATCTGGGATCTCACCTCCCGTCCTGCAGCCCCAGGCACACTGCGGGGTGGGGGGCGTTGGCGGTCGGGTCCGGGGCCGTTCCCTGCTCCGCGGGATCCTCGGGATGCGGCTCCGGGATGAATTCCATGCACAGCACCGGGGCCGGCACCGGGAAGGATTTGACGGTTCGGGGCACGGAGCGGTTCAGGGAGAAGATCTCCACCTGCCCCCCTGCCCCCTCCTGCCCCCCTCCCACCTGCGGGAAAGTGGGAAAAGTGGGAATCAGCATCCCGGGATTTGGGATTCTAGCCATCCCAAATCCCAAATAATCCCAAACCCCGGGATCCACTGGGGTTGTGCCCACCCAGAGATCTCCACCTGACCCCCTGCCCCCTCCTGCCCCCCTCCCACCTGCGGGAAAGTGGGAAAAGTGGGAATCAGCATCCCGGGATTTGGGATTCTAGCCATCCCAAATCCCAAATAATCCCAAACCCCGGGATCCACTGGGGTTGTGCCCACCCAGAGATCTCCACCTGACCCCCTGCCCCCCTCCCACCTGCAGGGCAGGAAAACCAGGAAAGAGCATTCTGGGATTCCAGCCAGAGCCACCCCAAATCCCAGGATCTGTTATCCCCAATCCCAAACCCCATATCCCAAACCCCCAAATCCCAAATAACCCCAAATCCCAGGATCTGTTATCCCCAATCCCAAACCCCATATCCCAAATCCCAAATAACCCCAAATCCCAAATCCTGGCATCTGTTATCCCAAACTCCAAACCCCAAATAACCCCAAACCCCAAATCACCCCAGATGGCCCCAAATCGCGCCAACCCCGTGGTCTGGGCTCTGCTCACCCACAGGAAGCCCTGGGGCAGGGAGGTGCTGACAGCTGAGAACCCCAGGAGCGAGGAATGGACGGGATTGTGGACGGCAGCTCCGAGCTGTGGGAACCAAAATACTGGGATTGGGACCCAGCCCGGCTGCAATTCCCCAATTTCCCCCTTGGAATGCCCCAATCCCTGCCTCTTCCAGCCCCTCCAGCGTGGGATCTGTGCTTTTCCACCCCAAAATTACAGATATGAAGGGACAGGGGATGGAGAACCCAAATCATCCCGAGCAGGGAGGGGATCAGTCAGAGCCCAAAATTTGGGATCTGGCTGCCATTCCAAATTTTCCCCCTTAGATTGCATCAATTCCTTTTCCAGCCCCTCCACTGTGGGATTTGTGCTTTTCCACCCCAAAATCATGGATATGAAGGGAAAGGGGATGGAGAACCCAAATCATCCCAAACTTGCAGGGGATCAGTGGGAACCCCAAAAGTTGGGATCCAGCTGCCATTCCCAACTTTGCCCCTTGGAATGCCCCAATCCCTGCCTTTTCCAGCCCCTCCACTGTGGGATTTCTGCTTTTCCACCCCAAAATCACCAATATGAAGGGACAGGGGATGGAAAACCTAAATCATCCCCAAGCAAGGAGGGGATCAGTCAGAACCCCAAAATTTGGGATCTGGCTGCTATTCCCAAATTCTCCCCTTCAATTTCATCAATCCCTGGCTTTTCCAGCCCCTCCACTGTGGGATTTGTGCTTTTCTGCCCCAAAATCATGGATATGAAGGGAAAGGGGATGGAGAACCCAAACCACCCCAAGCAGGAAGAATGTCAATACATTCCCCAAAATTTGGGATCCAGCTGCCATTCCCAACCTTCCCCCTTAGATTCCATCAATCCCTGCCTTTTCCAGCCCCTCCACTGGGGGATTTCTGCCTTTCCTCCCAAAAATGCTGCACCAGAGGGGAAGGGGATGGAGAACCCAAATTATCCCAAGCAGGCAGCATGGCAGGCAGATCCCAAAATTTGGGATCCAGCTGCTATTCCAAACTTTCCAGGCTGGACTGCCCCAATTCCTGCCTTTTCCATCCCCTCCAGGGTGGGATTTGTGCCCTTCCCAGCTGGATCCGAGGGTTTTCCAATCCCTCAGGAATGGGATTTTTGCCTTTCCTGCCCGGATCCGAGGGTTTTCCAGTCCCTCAGGAATGGGATTTATGCCTTTCCCAGCTGGATCCGAGGGTTTTCCAGTCCCTCAGGAATGGGATTTGTGCCTTTCCTGCCCGGATCCGAGGGTTTTCCAGTCCCTCAGGAATGGGATTTGTGCCTTTCCCGTCGGATCCAGGGTTTTTCCAGCTCTCACCTGCAGGTCCAAGGCTTTGGAGGAGAAGGCTGGAATGTGGCAGGAGAGGATGGGGCACCAGAAGGGAGCTCGGCTCTTCCTGTCCTCGTCGGGGCAGAGCCAGCCCGGCTGGTTCTCGTCCCCTGTGGAAAACCAGGAGCACTGGGATCACCCCCACCCCAAACTCCTCCCCTGGGATCCATCCCCACCCCAATCCACCATTTCCATGGATTTGGGATGCGCCTCATCCCCTTCACAGAATTATTGGTGTGCAGGGGGGAAAAAATCCCCAAAAAAACAAATTTAGGGGAAAAAAATTCCATCGTAAGGCGTTCCCTGACATCAGGCTGGGATGGGGTTGGGGTTCTGGCTCGTGGATATGGGATTATCCAACCTCAGAAAGTCCCCAAACCTTCTCCAAAATCTTCCCAACCTCCCAGATCTTCTCCCAGATCTCCCCAACCTTTTCCAAAACCTCCCAGACCTTCTCCAAAAACTTCCAAAACCTTCTCCCAAACATCACAAACCTCCTCCAGAACCTCCCCAACCTTCTCAAAAAGTTCCCAAACCCTTCCCAGGACCTCCCAAACCTTCTGCAAAAAAAACCCCAAACCTTTCCCAAAGCCTCCCCAATCTTGCCCAGAACCTCCCCAAACCTCCAGCAGTTTCCAAAAACCTCCCCAACGTTGTCCAAAGCACCCCAAAATTTCCCCAGTACACTCAAACCTCCCAAACCTTTCCCAAAAACCTCTCCAACCTTCTCAGAACCTTCCCAAAACCTTCTCCAGAACCTCCCCAACATTCCCCAAACTTCCCTAAAACCTCCCCAAACCTCCAGAACCTCCCCAACATCGCCCAAACTTTTCCAAACCTTCTTCAGAAACCTTCCAAACGTTCTCCCCAAAACCTCCCCAACCTTCTCAGAAAATTCCCAAACCTTCTCCACAAGCTTCCCCAAAGCGTCCCAAACCCTCTCCAGGACCTCCCCGCCCTCCTCCATCCCCTGGCTCCCGGTTTTTGCCCCTTTCCCGCTCCGGGATTCCCGGGCAGAGCAGGACTCACGCAGGCCGATCTTGGCCAGGTGCAGCCGGTTCACCCAGGAGATCTTGCTCAGGGGGCTGGGGGTGATGAACACCACCATGACGCTGATGGGGCGCCCAGACCTGCGGGACACGGCGGCCTTCAGCCTCATCCTCATCATCCTCGTCATTGTTATCTTCATCCCCATCATCCTCATCCCCATCATCCTCATCCCCATCATCTTCATCCTCATCATCTTCATCCTTACCCCCATCATACTCCTCTTCAACATGGTTATCCTCATCCCCATCACCCTCATCATCTTCATCCTGCCCCATCATCCTCCTCATCATTGTTATCCTCATCCTCTTCTCCTCATCATCATCTTCATCCTCATCATTATGCTCCATCTTCTCTTCATCATCATCTTCATCCTCATCATTATGCTCATCCCCATCATCATGCTCCTCATCTTTATCCTCATCTCCATCATCCTCCTCATCATCATATTCATTCTCCCCCATCATCCTCCTCATCATGGTTATCCTCATCCCTATCATCCTCCTCCTCTTCCTCATTCTCATCATCATAATCTTCATCCTGCTCTTCATCCTCCTCATCATCCTCATCCCTATCATCCTCCTCCTCTTCCTCATTCTCATCATCATAATCTTCATCCTGCTCTTCATCCTCCTCATCATCCTCCTCCTTCTCCTCTTCCTTCTCCTCATCCTTCCCATCTTTTTCCTCACCCTCATCCTCTTTCTCATCCTCCTCTTCTTCTTCATCTTCCTCCTCCTCATCCCCATCTTCCTCCTCCTCCTCCTCCTCCTCCTCCTCCTCCGGCGCGGGGCCCGCGCCCGGCCAGGCCCGGCCCGCCCCAGGCCGCCATGCAGGGCCCAGCACGGAGCACAAAACCCGCACCCCAAAGCCCACGCGGAACCCCCGCTCCGGCCGGCACCTCACCCCTTCCCTCTTCCCCCCTTCCCGCAGCTATCCCCGGCCAAGAGAAGCCGCCCATGTCGCTCCGACAAACCCCCGGCTCCGCGCAGCGTGCGAGAGCGGCGACGGAGGGACAGGATCACCCCAGATCCCATCCATGGGAGCCAGGATCAGCGCAGATCCATCCATGGGAGCCAGGATCAGCCCAGATCCCATCCATGGGAGCCAGGATCAGCGCAGATCCCATCCATGGGAGCCAGGACCAGCCCAGCTCCGGCCGGCGGTTCCCGGGCCGGCGGCGGTGCCGGGCGCGGGCGGTACCTGGTAGGTGCCGTGCAGGGTGCTGACGAGCAGCGTGATCTGCTCCACCACCGCCAGGTCCTTCTGCAGGTCCTGCAGCTCCTGGAAGAGCCGTGGGGGGCCCAGGTAGACCTTATCTTTCAGTGAAAAAACGGGATTTCAGGCGCATGGAGCGCCACGGGATCCACCAGGTTGGAGAAGATCCAAGAAGGAGCCCAGCCCATGACCCAACACCACCAGGGACAGCCCCGAGTGCCACAGCCACTCTTCCTCAAACATCTCCATGGATGGTGACTCCCAGAGGGGTGAAATCCCCCAGGTCCAGCCCAGGGAGATTCTCCTGCTGGGAATGAGGCTGGACCTCTGCATCTGCAACTCCACACCTCCCAGAGCAGTGAATTCCCCTAAACCCCCCAAATCCCAGCCCACCAAGGTCATCCCACCAGGAATGAGGCCCTGACCATCTCCCAGAATGGTGAAATCCCCTAAAATCCCCCCAAATCCCAGCCCAGGGAGGTTTTCCTGCCAGGAATTCATCTGGAGCACCACATCTCCGACTCCACCACCTCCCAGAATGGTGAAATCCCCTAAAATCAGACCTCTGCATCTGCAACTCCACCACACCTCCCAGAGCAGTGAAATCCCCTAAACCCCTCAAATCCCAGCCCACCAAGGTCATCCCACCAGGAATGAGGCCCTGACCATCTCCCAGAATGGTGAAATCCCCTAAAATCCCCCCAAATCCCAGCCCAGGGAGGTTTTCCTGCCAGGAATTCATCTGGAGCACCACATCTCCGACTCCACCACCTCCCAGAATGGTGAAATCCCCTAAAATCACCCCAAATCCCAGCCCAGGGAGGTTCTCCCACCAGGAACGAGGCCCCGAGTGCTGCACTGGTGACTCTACCACCCCTCAGAGAGGTGAAATCCCCTAAAACCCCCCAAATCCCAGCCCAGGGAGGTTCTCCTGATAGGAACTCGGCTGGAGTGCCACATCTCCAACTCCACCACCCCTCAGAGGGGTGAAATCCTCTAAAACCCCCCAAATCCAGCCCAGGAAGGTTCTCCCACCAGGAATGAGGCCCTGAGTGCAGCACTGGTGACTCCACCACCCCTCAGAGGGGTGAAATCCTCTAAAGCCCCCCAAATCCAGCCCAGGAAGGTTCTCCCACCAGGAATCAGGCCCCAGGTGCAGCACTGGTGACTCCACCACCCCTCAGAGCAGTGAAATCCCCTAAAACGCCCCAAATCTCCTAAAACCCCCCAAATCCCAGCCCAGGGAGGCTCTCCCACCAGGAACCAGGCCCCAGGTGCAGCACTGGTGACTCCACCACCCCTCAGAGGGGTGAAATCCCCTAAAACCCCCCAAATCCCAGCCCAGGGAGGCTCTCCCACCAGGAATGAGGCCCCGGGTGCTGCACTGGTGACTCCACCACCCCTCAGAGGGGTGAAATCCCCTAAAACCCCCCAAATCCCAGCCCAGGGAGGTTCTCCCACCAGGAATGAGGCCCCAGGTGCAGCACTGGTGACTCCACCACCCCTCAGAGCACTGAAATCCCCTAAAACCCCCCAAATCCCCTAAACCCCCCAAATCCCAGCCCAGGGAGGTTCTCCCACCAGGAATGAGGCCCCAGGTGCAGCACTGGTGACTCCACCACCCCTCAGAGCACTGAAATCCCCTAAAACCCCCCAAATCCCCTAAAACCCCCCAAATCCCAGCCCCGGGTGGTTCTCCTGATAGGAACTGGGCTGGAGTGCCACATCTCCGACTCCACCACCCCTCAGAGGGGTGAAATCCCCTAAACCCCCCAAATCCCCCAAAACCCTCAAATCCCCTAAAACCCCCAAATCCCAGCCCACGGAGCTTCTCCTGATAGGAACTATTTCCCAAAATAGGGCTGGAGTGCCAAATCTCTGACTCCACCACCCCTCAGAGCAGTGAAATCCTCTAAAACTCCCCAAATCCCCTAAAACCCCCCAAATCC